CTCTCCAGTTACATAATACGGCCTCTCAACTGTGCTTAAAATGGTAGCCATATGTGCGTGCAAAATTTAAATCACTGTCAAACTTGTGTCTGGTCTTTGCCCTGTCCTATGACGTGCCGGAAACGGCAAGCAATATGCGCACGTGGAATTCAAATCACTGTCAAAATAATTTTAAATATTTAATTAACAAAATTGAAATGAAATAATCTAAAACAATGTTTTAGAAATACAAATGAGTACATAATTATACAAATAAGTACTTTTAGAGTACAGGATTTGAAAAAAGTACGGTTTGTAAAAAAAGAGTACAAAACTCGGTAAATGAGAATAGTTGGTCACCTTAATTGTCTACATAATTTTTTGGTAGATTTCAAAGTTCCTGCAAATGATGGTTTTATCTATAAAAATATTGAGTTTAAAAGCAATCTTGCTGTTATCATATGTGACGCACCAGCTAGAGCATTTGTAAAGTGTATTAAAGGACACAATGGTTATAGCTGTTGTGAATGTTGTGTTTAGAAAGGAGAGTGGTGTGACAAAATAATTCTCCTACATATTTCACTAATTTTAAGCACTGGTTCAGATTTTTGTCATTAAAAGCATTCTGAACATCTTATTGGTGTGTTAAATTGAATTAAATTTTGACATGGTGACAAAGTTTCATTTAAACTTAATGCATTCAGTATGCTTAGGGGTAATGCGAAAATTTGTCAACTTATGGTTAAACTGCCCAATTCTTGTAAATTGTCTTACAATTTTTTATATTTACAATAAGTTAATACTTTATCTGGCGGATTGTTCCAGATACGTCATTACATTCCAAGAAATTTATCTAGAAAATCAAGGTCTTAATTATTTTAAAAAATGGAAAGCAACTGAACTTAGACTATTTATAGTATACACTGGACCAGTTGTTTAAAGGGAATGGTTTAGTAAAAAATCTATTCAAACTTTTTAGATTTTTCAGTTGTAGTTCTAATTTTATAACGTTTTATTTTGTTGAAAAAATATGTTAATTTTGCTTTTCAGCTACTTATTTTGTGCAGTTTTATATGTGAACTTTATCGTAAGGATCAACGAATGTACAATGTTCATTTATTAGCACATATAGGAAATAATACAGTTAAATTTTAAGTACTTGATAGATGTCCCTCTTTCAAATACAAAACTTTTTTCAGGTCAATTAAAAAAACTTGTTCAAAGACCAAAGGGTTGCTCAAATAAACACTTACATGATGATAAACAGAAGTTTAGTATTTCTTATTTTGATGGTAGTAATCATTGCATTGAGACGCTGTTTACAGTTCAAAAATTATCAAGGTTTGGAGTGTTTTGTTTCAGCTAATGAAAGTGATAATTGTTTTAAAATTACAAAAAAATATGGTTAAGGTAAAAATGTGTGTGTGTGTGTGTCTCTTTTGATTATTACAACATCAAAAAAGATACATGTCTCAGTTGATGCTTACAACAATAAACACTTTTAAAGCTACTTTAAAAATGTTTGTTGTTGTAAGCATCAACTGCGTTTTTTAGCGCTTCAATATTGTTTGGGATGTGTTCTCTAACTTTTCTCCTTTGCCTAAACTGATTGAAATCCTGGTGAATTGATTGCAGAGCTTCGGTCCAGTAACCTAAGCGTATAGAATATAAAATGCACAAAATAAGTTCTAGTCTATTTAATGAATAATCGTCATAGTTTATGTAAGTTTAAACTTGCATAAACTGTTGTATTATTGTAATAATGAGTATTTAATTACTTTTATTATAATTAAATAATATAAATTTAATCTTTTGTCAAACTTAAAATTTGTTTATCATACCGAAGACTGCACATATCGATGAACTTGATAATATATTGCTCGACTATGTGTACTTTCAAAGAAATTATAACCCTTAGATTTCTATAGTTCGTAGACAACTGCTCTATATCTTTGACATAAGTTGAGCTTAATGATTTTCCAAAACAGCCATGGACTACTTTTTCAAAATTTCTAAGTACCTTAATGTATTTGGATAAGGGATCTCCAAAACTGGACTCCTAAAAAAACATCTCAAAGCTGTCTATAAAAAATTTTATTAGCTTAGGAGACGTAGTTCTAGGAAGGGGGTAATTCGGGGTCGGGACGCGGTTGGGTTAGCTCCAATTACCTCAACTTTTTGCACCATTATTAACATAATAAACCATACCATTATTAACCATTATTAATATAATACCACTATTAACATAATAAAAATTTGAGTATGCCACGTAGCTCTTAGTTACATATCTTGAACAACAAAATTACTAGGTACTCGCCTAAATTCCGTGGTTTCTCCCTAAGCCCCCCGTGAAAAAAGTTGTTTTTTACATTTTGAAATAAGGAAAAGTCTTCTGATAATAAACAACAAAAAAAATTTCTGGGGATGTGTAGCAAAGTCTCAGTGCATCTTCCTAAGCACCGTGTTGTTTTTATCACGATGACTGCTTGCTCGTGGCTAACGGTCGGCGTGACCAAATCGCTGTGTTTATTCTTACAAGTTTTAGTGAGTTTATATGACAGCTAGTCACTATCTTATCTGTCCAGTGATCTTCGTGGCCAAATAGTTGTCTTTAGTGTTACGAGATGTCGTTACCTAGTCGTAAGTTGTCAAAGCTAGCTAGGCGCAAGCTCA